CTTGAATTGCTAATATCCAGCCGTCTTTACTTTACACTTGGTCAATAACGCATTTATCTTGAATATAATGACAAGTTGAAGCTTCAATGATGGTTTTACTCCTGCGGGCCAATTATGCCATTAAACAAGGAAGCGCTGAAACCCGTCCGTCATTTTACTAAGTTGTTATTCAGTCCTTTTGTCAAACAGAGCACTGTTTTGAATTCATTCGAACTTGTTTTGTTTTTATCATTGTTTTCTGTGAAGAGCCAAAAAAAAAGACTCCTTATTAAACACGTCATTGGAAGAACTTCCTAAACAGCTGCTGCTTTGGGATTAATAATTAATCACAATAGGAGATAAAATTTCTCCTTTTTCTCATTGCGAGGGATAAGCATCTTATGGGTTACAGTTTTCGCATGCTTTTGACAATCTCTTTAAAGAGTGAATTACTGTCAAAAGAGGGCTAAGAACTTTCTTTCTGACAAGCTCTACAGATGAGGCGCTGTCGCCGCCGCATGTTTTCTTTCTCATTTCTGTTTTTTTTGTTCGGAGGCTGGTTTTACACTTTAACAATTGCAAACCATGGTGAGTTAACTTTAACATTCTTTTCGCGTGTTCTATGAAAGTTTTTACAGATTCTTTAAGGCTGGCTCCCTTCTCTTGGTTGTTTGCCTGATGTGTGGGAGATGTGTTGTCCCAACGATCATTGCTTTCGACTTTTAATCGAAATTTACGAATACGCGAAGTAGCACGGCCCTTGCACTATGATCTTGAGAGATATATTTTATCCTCACAGTGAATTTCGCCATCCACACGTTAAAACAGGTGCTGGCAACTGTTATGATAGTCTGACTAAATGTTAAAGGTTTTAAATCGGCTCTCAAACTAATTCTAAAGGACAATGTATTTTAAAGTCGATGATTACTTGTTCCTAAGAGATAATATGCGATACATTAAGATGCAAGAACCCAATTTGAAAAATTTGTTGAAGCAATATCCATTTACATGCAGTTCATTGACACTGAAGGCAACTCGAGGCGAGCACGCAATTTTTTTTAAATGTAAGAATTTATTTATATTAATTCCACCATTAAACTATCAATAAATATTGAGAGCTAAAAGTCAGAGGAAAAGAATAATTTTTCGTGATTATCGTCAACGATTCATATGTTTGTCCTCTAAACAATCGAGCTTGCGGAAAAACACTGATGAACACTTCATCAGAACAGATATGACCCTCATCAGACTTGAGTAACTTGAGAAAAAGGAAACAAATAGAATTATATTTGAAACGAAAGTTTTTTAGTCGTTCCGGCAAGAATTTCCCAGTGATTTCTTAAAAATAAATCATAATGTTAGTGTACGCAACTGGTATTCAAAGTCTGAGAGGTACCACACATCGTCGCATATCATTGTTGGACTTTAACTCGGTCTTCACGCACTACAAAATTAGACTGTTCTTTCAAATTATCGTCTAGAAAACGAACAAAGCCAGTCTCAAGAAATGCTTCAAAGGTGTTGCCAGAAAATTCTGACTAAACC